CGAAAAACTGTTAGATACCATTCGTGACCTAAGATGACCTCAGGGCATAAACAAAGGTCACGGACACCCTTTTCATGTTCAGTGTGTCTAAACCACTTGTAATTCGGTGTTTGGGAGTGTTTATAATGTCTTTCGTCCAAAAGAGGCGCATTTCAATTTTCTCCCATTGACTTATAATGGGGAGGTCGCAAAATTGACCTGACCTTAGGTCATCGATATCAAAATTCTGAGATATACATTTTGTACATGCTATTGCTCTTAGCAATCGCTGAAAGTTTCAAAACGATCGGTCACTCGGTGTAGCTATGACAGACATTGAAACTTTTTATGAGGTGAGGTCACTTCAAGTGACCTGGTGACCTGACCTTGAATGACCTTGGCCTGAAATTTTCACAACATGTGTAGAATTGATGTATGATAAGGTGTACCAAAAACGGCGGCGCTCCGCGCCGCCGTTTTTGAGATATTCGCGAAAAACCACAAGGGGGGGGTGTTCAAACACCCCCCCCCCCAGCAGGGCGCGGGTTAAATGGTTGATTTTTTTTACAATGTTGTGACACAAATAAGCCATTTGTGATTCAGAGGTCCAGCTTCGCTTCATGGCTTTGCTTCGCTTGCCCTTCTGCTTGAGATGGCGACTATGTTTATGCTCACTGGATACGATGCTAAATACGATGTTACGATACGGTGTCCACAGGGACGCCGCATTGCATTCATTTTTTATTGTAGTTTATTTTTCAGCACGGGGCTGACAAGACTTTCTACTTCTTAAGAAAAAAAAAATTATTCAGGCCGCAGTAATCGCGAATTTGAAACTTTTTCGTGCCTTTGAAATGTCTATAACAATTTCTCGCGGCAATTGTTCTTGAAAGTTTTCCGCTGTTGCTCTTATCCCATGTTTATTGTGGTCAAATTACACATTTCTCAACTGGCGTTTTTCTTTTCAACATTTCCCAAGCACGTTTCTCAACATTTCGCAATGGCATTTCAACTTACATGGGCAAGTTTCGACGAAGTCAATATCTCTTGGGCATTCCATGACTCATTTCTTTATAAATTGACTCATTTCTGTGTCGTCCACATTTGAATGTAACGCGTTGCATGCCTCACCGTCTCGCCCGCTGCCCGTGGCCTCACATGACGTCATGTGTGACGTCACGTGTGTAGTCGCGCCGTCCAACCCCCGCGTCTGACCCGCAGAAAGAGGAGACCAAAGTGGCAGAGGTGCCCAGCTGCGACTCGCCGCGGGGCGGCGCCAAAAGAGCGCGCGGCAGCGGAACGCGCAAAAAGCGCGAGCGCGCTAACCGGCAGCTCAGCAACTCGGGCATCATGGCGCCGCGCATGAACACGGTGAGCGCCGCCATCTTGGCCGCCGCTGGGCTGAGGATTGTGGCTTGACATTGAGCTAGCTTTCTGAGACGATGAGCTTGTTCGCCGCTGCGTGCCGCTATTTGGCGTGAGTCGCACCGCCGGGGACGTTCAGTCAGCATTGTGTCCTGTCTAGACTCGTGTGGTAGTAACTGTCCATCCCGTGCCATTAACTCCACAGTTGATCGATACGTTCTCTTCGGCCCTTGTCGCCAGCCGCCGATGCCTGGCATGGCTCAGTACGGCCCGGGCGGCGGGATGTACGCGGCCGAGCAGCAGTGGTTCCCGCCTCAGCAGGGCCCGCAGGGACCGCCGGCGCCCTACTACCACCAGCAGCAGGCCATCGGCGCAGGTGAGCTCCGGGCGACAGCCATTGCTGCAGAGCTGTGATGAATCATGTGTATCCTGAGAAATTGTCGCCCATAGGACTAAATGAAGTTTTTGAGCCGCTTCCACAGCAAACAGTCGTGTAAAGCGCATCTTTCTCTTATTCTTTCAGTGCCGTGAGTCCTGATGGCACAACACTGAAAACCCGTCCCTGGTTGGTCACGGCTAGTCTACTGAGTGTTGATCTTGGCTCTCCGGCCTCGTGATGACCTAACCTGACCTGACCTGACCTCTTGACAGCGGGCGGCCAGCGGTTCCCCTCGTCGGCCAGCAAGATGGCGCTGACGACAATGCTGCGCAACCGACAGCCGGGCGGCTTCATGCAGCCGCAGCCGCAGCCGGGCTACCCGAACATGCACCCGAGCATGCAGGACAAGCAGCAGCTGCTCCGGCAGCAGCAGATGATGAGGTGCGGCTGGACTCGGGGACGAGGGAGGGAGGGAGCTACTTATTACGGCCGGAATGAACCTGTCTCTGAACTCCACTGTCAAGCATACCTTGGCGAAAGTTGTGTCTGAGTACTGTGGTAGGGTCTTCAATCATCTCACGGTTTCTTAGACCTGATTGACCTTTGGGTTTTGTTGTCCCTACGAAGCTAGCCCCGTATCGATGGGTTCTAGTCACTCTGCCCGGCAATCCCTGCTCCTTTCACCCTTTCTTCCCCGCAGCGCTGTCCCAACTGATGATACTGTGTGCTGTCCTCAGCAGGGACCAGATTCGCGTCCAGCACCCGGGAGGGCCCGTGTACGCGCCGCGTCAGATGCCGGGCCCGCCGTCCGGACCGGGGCCCACCATGCCGCAGACCATGTACCAAGGTCAGTGGCCGCCTCCCGGGACACACGTGGAGCTACTGGGGTTCACCCGTGGGGTCGCTGGGTGTTTGTTGGCGTCGGAACTAGGTTGTGGAGTTTCCCTCATATATGGCTCAGCTAAGGGCTTAATTTGACGGCACTTGGAGGTTTTGGTATTTGACTCGATCGGCAAATGATCAGATCAACACATGTTTTAAAGGGACTATCCCACCTTTAACATGGGGTTTGAGTTGAGATAGCCAAGTTTGCGGCGAGGTTCAGAAACCACTATCTATCTAGGTTGCAACCCCCGCGGCCTCTTGGTGTTGAAGAAATTCGTTCCCTTCATTTGAAAATGGGCCTTGTGCAAGGCCCTATCTTCAACATGGGGCGACCGTTAGTGTGACGTCACCTCGTTTAGTCATTCTGATTTAAATGGGTTTGTTCGTTGAAAAATCGCTTAAAACTTGGTCTGAACTTTGTTGTGGTGCCTACAGAGTAAAAAGAATCAGCTTTATGACAGTAATGTGGCCTGGGGAAGGAGGTAATTTTGGGTTGTGACGTCACATATTTGAAAGTTTGTGTTTGGAATATGGGAAGCCTAAGATGTTTAATGAAATATAAATGCCAGAACCGTGTTCCTGGTCATCCAATCTATAAAGTCGGGCACAATTTAACTGGTTTTAACAACATTTTAGAAGGTGGGATAGTCCCTTTAACCGTGATTTATGACAACTGTTAGTAAATATGAACCTGTAGCTTTACCTTTGTCTGACAATTTGCGTGTGGTGATCAACCAGGGATGAATCCCGGCTACAACCCTGCCTACATGGCGCAGCAGCAGGGCCAGCCGAGCCAGCTCATGACTCAGGGAAACCCAAACGGTGAGTGGTACCCAGCTCATGTCTCAGGGAAACCGGGAGTGGTAACCAGCTCATGACTCAGGGAAACCCAAACGGTGAGTGGTAACCAGCTCAATATGTCTTAGGGAAACCGGTGAGTGGTGACCAGCTCATGTCTCAGGGAAACCCAAACGGTGAGTGGTAACCAGCTCATGTCTCAGGGAAACCCAAACGGTGAGTGGTAACCAGCTCATGACTCAGGGAAACCCAAACGGTGAGTGATGCCATGTAAAATATCGCAACCAATTACGTTGTACAGGCTTGGGTTGAGGGTCATCTGAGACAGGAGATTAATGTATACCGTTCCTGGAAGGTTTCTTTTGAAGTGAAGGCTCTCTAGCTTGAAGACTAACTCTGCCCTATCTCCCTGCGTTTCAGCGATGGGCTTTGGCGGCCAGCAGGGCCAGCCGGCGCCTCAGCAGCAGATGATGCAGCCGCAGCAGCAGCCCGGCATGATGCCCATGCGGTCCCAGCAGCAGCCAGGCCCGACCGGCTACATGAGCCAGATGAGGCCCAGCTCAAACTATATGCAGGTGAGCCGCGGAGCGTGACCTATAGGCGGGAGCACGCTAAGCATCGGATGTGAAAGGTATCGTTGATGAATTCTGCAAGTGTTCAAGTGATGGCAAGTGTTCGTTCGCTGTGGAATCCCCCGGCCGCTATGGCGTTCGCCAATGACCGATCATACAGTCATAGGACATAGGTATGTGTTGTGACTCGTATCTTGCGACTGTCTGTCCCCTCTGATTGTGCCACTCCGTCCCCAGCAGGCGCCGAACGTGACTGTGAACGCGATACAGGCCGGCGGCCAGTACCGAGCCATGGCGCCCGGGCCGCCGGGCGCCGCCGGCCTGCCCCAGCGGCTGCGACACCCGATGATGATGCAGCAGCAGCCGGGCACGCTCATGAACCAGCTGCGACAGCCGAGCCTCGCCCAGCAGCAGCAGCAGCAGCAACAACAGCAGCAGCAGCAGCAGCAGCAGCAGCAGCAGCAGATGCAGCCGAGCAACCCGTACCAGTACCACCAGTGAGGCGGCGGCGGCGGCTCGGAGGGCCCGTACCGGGGCTGGCCGCCGCCCGACTGGGGACCGGAGCCGCCGCGGCGGCCGGTGCGCCGCGCCGCGCCGGCTGACCCGCCGCCGGCCTCTGCAGACTGTGACCTGAATCTGAGATGACCGGATCTGTGCGCTGAGAACGCATCTATATATTGTTTTGTTTTGAGCTGTGGCCCGTTTTTGGGGACGTGTTTTGTGTAGCGCTGTGCTCGTGTCTGTGTCGGTCGCTGTGAATGGCCGCGTCTCATCATTCAGGACCCATTGATTGTGTGTTGGTGTCGATTGGGGCGTCGTGGCTGCCCGCCGGTGGCAGCGGTGATACTGTGGCGAGTTGTCCGCGGGTCGTGACGTCATGATGACGTGCTCACGAACTGTGACACCATGATGACGTGTCCGCGGCCCACCAGGTGTCTGCTGCGGGCGGGCGTCATCGAGCCGGTCCTTCATTCCTCCTGCCAGGGTCCCGCTCCGTACCATAATACAGGAGCACAACATGCAACCTTTTTTGTGAACTATATATTTGCTCATCAAACTGAAATCAATTAAATATGCCAATGTATCATCTCGGATTAATGCATAAAACCGACACGTTCTATGCCCGTAAGAATCGAGCTCGCGTGTCCCCCACGCAGCGTCACGCCTGCAGTGACGCGCGTAATGGCGTTAGTGAACTGCATCTCTCGACCACGTCACGCTGCGGCCGGTCGGCGTTTAATCCCTCCACCCACCACAGGGCACACCCGCCCGGTACGACCCCACACAGGCCGCCCCTCGCCGGGACGTAACGCCGCACAGCTGCTGAGCTTGACGTCGGCAGTCACACGGTGTTGCAGCACATCATTCACACGCTGATAACGGGGCATGATGGACGTGGTAGCGTGACAGTTACTGACGCGCGTAGGTCATTTCCGAACGCTAGTCTCATTCAGATTCAGTCACTTCACCGCAGTGAAAGTCAGGTGTATCGCTACCCAATCAATCAGCTCAACAAGCTACACCCGACCTTCTTAGTTACACTCGCCCATAATTCGCATCGATCATATCCCAGCCACATATCTGTATTTAATCCTTGCACTAGCACTTACACTCGCGTCGCAGGCTCGTAAGAGATGATCGGAGGTCGTGGTAAAAAGACGACTGGAGACAGGTCGGAGACGAGAGAAGAGACGGGAGACAATGCCGCGGCTGGAGGAGACTGAGCAGACCAGCAGAACGCGGACGGCAGGGTCAGTGTCTGACTGAGCCAGGTCTGACCGTATACACCGCGCGGAGACAGGTGGCAAGCCGGACTCGGTCCATCAGTCATTGCCCCGGTCTACCGTCCCATTCAGGACACCGGCTGTCGCAGACGGCGTGTTCCAGACACCACACACCTGGCGTCAGAGATTGGACGGGGTCAATACCAGTTATGACGGAGCTCAAGTGAGAATATGTTACCCAGACACGAATGGTAATGAAAATGATCATCAAATCGATGCATATTGACATGCCATCATTGTTCCTATACACGCTGACGCATAGATATCATGAATGATTCATGTTATCTGTGTCTGATGTAATCCGCTGCCTGGCGGAGCCCCGGTCACTTTCTGACTTACCATGTAACTGATATGTCGCCGCAGCGGCTCTCGTCCCCGTTAGAAGTCTACTCCGAAGTCCGAACAGCCTGCTTCGCGTCAGTATCCCAGACAGCCTAATTTTGAAGAAATGGCAGTCTGCGTGATGCACAGGAAAAGGAATCGGTTAGACTTGAAGTTAGACGTTAGAATCATTCGTGAGACTGAAGACAGAACGAATTCATCATAATCGCTGCCGATAAAAGCCTCAATACTGAATACAAATATTATGGTTATCGACTATCGAGCAAGCCCAGATAACACAGAATCATACTGTTGCCACTAAGCAAGAAGTGATGTCACTGCCAAAAGTTCAGGGGAAACTGCTGCCACATCTAGGAGTAAAAACTTACCTCAATAACGGTTGAAAGCAACTGGCCTCCTCAATAATTCAGTTCGCCATGATGAACAGCCACGCAGCCCGCCAGTCGAGCACATTTTCAACAAACCATCTCCTCTGCGCTACCCGCTGACGGGACCAGAAACTTAAATCTCATCACATCATCATCACTCAGCGCCGCGTGTTCTGCACCCCGAGTCGGTCCCTGCCGGCGCCGTCCGCACGTCACACCCTCACTGTCCGTCCCGCTCGCCCGTCCCCGGTGCCAGCGGTCCCCGGCCGGCGCCGAACGTCTCTCACCGCCCGCTGCCGCCGGCGCCGGCCGCCGCACCCGTCACTCTTCCTTGGTTAGTTTCCCGACGTCCGGGTAGCGGGCCGGCTGTTGTCGGTACGCCGGGCTCTCGTTGACCGTCTCGGCCAGTGTCGCCACGGCCACGCGCCGCGCCGCGTCCGCCACCTGCGGGTCCTCGGCGACAGCGGCGAGGAGCGCCTGGCCGCCACCGGATGCCGTGGGCAGTCGGCAAGCCTCCAGCGCCTCAGCGGCACACCGCTGGGCCAGCTGCGCAGGCGAGCCGCGCGGCTTCTGGGCCAGCTGGGCTCCGCGCCGTCCGGACGGCTGCACGGCCAGGTAGCCGTCGCTGAAGGGACGCGCGCGCGGCGGGTGGCGGCGCTGCAGCTCGGCGTCGCGGCTGAGCGCGGCCAGCCAGTCGGCCGGCACGGTGTAGTGCCACGACTCTGTGCCGGGCCGCACAGCCGGCAGTGGAGCCACAGAGCGCACCGGCTCGGCGCTCGGGCTCAGGTCTACCTCCATGGCGGCCGGTGGAGCGGCGGCTGCCGCCCCGGACGCTGCCGCCGCCGGCTGAGGGGTCGCCTCAGAGGCAGCTGATGGCTGAGCAGGGGCGGCAGCTGCGGCAGCGCGCTCCTCGGCAGCCTCCCGTGCCACCAATCGCTGGCGGCGCGCGTCGTGAGTGGCCAGGTGCCACGAGTGACAGGGCAGGAACGGGTCGAACGGGTTGGCCCCCAGGTGTCTCACCACGGGCGCCTGGCCCAGCGGCGGCTGCGGCTGGGCCGTCGGTCGAGTACGAGTCGTGCTCGTCGTGCCGCCGGAGTCGGCCGACGGCGGCGGAGGCGTCGACTCGGCGCTCGATGCGGCAGTGGTGCTCGGAGTCGCTGCCGTCGTTCCCGACTGCTGAGTGGTCTGAGGTGGCGTCTCGCCAGCGGCCGGCGGATGCATCATCATCGCGGCATTCACGGCAGCTTGGTGCGCCGCCATCGCCGCCTCATGTACGTTACGGTGAATACCTGGCGCATGAGCCTCCAAGTGAGCGCCAATCATGCTGTTCTGGATCGCGTCCACGATATTATTGAGGAACTGATCCTGACCGGGGGCCGGCGCGCCGCCCGCGCCGGTCGCCGGGCCTGAAGAGGTAGTTACCGTCTCCAGTTCGATTCGGACCTCATTCACGTCTTCCGTGTCCATCGGTGCATCATCCAGAGCAGGGTCGTCGGCCGGCCCGCCGCCGGTGCCCGCCTGGGACGGTGCCGACGTCGGAGCCGCAGGAGTCGCCGATCCGCCGACAGACGTGCCGGACGACGAGGACGAAGTGGTCGTTGAAGAGGCCGTCGCTGTTGTAGACACAGTGGGTGGGGTCGGTTCCGCGGGCGTACTGGTGGCCAGAGGCGGCTCCTGACCGGCAGCTGGCGGCGCCGGACCGCCCGCTCCCTCCCGATGGATGTTGGTTGTTATGTTGATGTGAGCTTGCATCGGCTGCAGCGGCATCGGGTGCGTCTCAGTGAAGATAATCGGCCTGGCACGCATGTGACGCGGCGGCACCTGCTCAAAATCGACCATCATGTCGCTGCTGAGGTGCAGCGCGTGCGACAGGTAGTGCATCGCCTCGGAGGTGTGCTGGAAGAGGCGACGCGCGTCGCGCACGGCCGCCGCGTCCGCGCACGGTCGGTCGTCGCTCAGCAGCCGTCGGTAGCGCACCAGGTACGGCCGCAGCCGCGTCTGCAGGTCGGCTATCATCTCCAGCAGGTGGGCGTACACAGCTGCGCTCGGGTGGGCCACGAACGCTGCCCCGGTGCCTGCTCCGGCACCGCCCGTCGCTCCCGCCGCGCCGGGACCCGCCGCAGTCCCGGCGGCGCCGGCCGTGCTCGCTGTCGCCGTTGTCGGCTGCGCGGCTGACGACCCGGCCGGTGCAGATGTCGTCCCGGAGGCCGGAGAGGCGGTCGGGGCTGATCCCGGCGCGGCGGTGGTCGCGGGGGCCGGCGCGGCCGGTCCTGAGGCGCTCGGGGCGGCCGGTCTGGCGCCGGCGGGCTGTCCCGGAGGCGGCGGCGCGCCTGGCCGGTGGATGTGGAACTGGAGTCGGCCGCCAGCCGGTCCCATGGCGCCCGGGATCAGTCCGACCATCGGCAGCGCGTTGGAGGCGGCGCTCAGCGCGGCGGAGAGGGCCGCCGTGGTGGCCTGCTGCAGATCAGCGCCGCCCGCCGCGCCCACCTGTACGTTGATCATCGGGAATAGCTGAGCGATGTGCGGCGGGCGCGGGCCGGTTCCGGCCTGTTGACGCGGACCGGTTCCCTGTTGACCCTGCTGTCCACCCTGCCCTGGAGCCGCCTGCTGTTGCCGCTGCTGCTGCTGCTGCCGCTGTTGTTGTTGTTGAGGTGGCACATGCCGCGGCGGCGGCGGCGGAGGCGGCACAGGCGCGACGGCCGGACGCGGGATCTCCTCATTATTATCATACGCATCTAGAACAATGTTAGCTAGATGCACCATCTGCCGCGCCTGGAAGAGGCGCGCTCCGCTGGACGAGGTGCCCAGCGCCGGTGTGCCGGTCGGCCGGTCCGGCAGCGAGAAGGACCCCACCAGCAACTGGCTGACGGGCGGCGGGTGCGCGTGGTGATGGTGATGGTGGTGGTGCACGTGGTGGTGGTGGCCGCGCTGCGGGGGCGGCGCGGAGCTCGGCGGCGGGTGGCGGCCGGGCGGCGGACGCTGCACCAGGTGCACCACCTTCTCGTGCACCTCGTAGGAGCTGAGCGGCCGCTCGTCCTGCAGCACGCGGCCGCAGTAGATGAGCCGCTGCTGGCCGGCAGCGATGCCCACCTCGGTGGCGATGTGCTCCTTGAACGCCTTCACCGTCGTGTCGTCGGCCACCGAGAACTGGTGGTTACGCGAGTCCAGCGTCTTCACAGTAATGTCCAGCATGGTGGCGCGCTGGTCTGTGGACGGAAAGCGCGCTTAGTCAGCTGGTGGTGCAGAAATTTGGCTGGATAAGGAGTGGGAGGGGAGCGGAGGAGAACAAAGGGAGGAGAGTGCATTGTACCCATGGTTCAATAAGTTGAAACTCTTGCCATTTGTAACACATAAGTATTATTCGAGCTATCGCGTTTCCACCGAATCAATTGGCGTCACTACGCCTGTAGCTCGATAACTACAATCCTCAGCAATCACTCACGGCTGACTCAGTCCCATAATCAACCATCGAGCCAAAATATGTTTTCATATCAGCTCTGGCTGCAGGGACAGGGGGCAGAGTCCAAGGCTCAAGTTCAAACAAAGACTTCACAGCGTTTGACCGAACGCTGAGGATTCCGACCCGAAGTCAGCTAGCTTTAGTAAAGCTTATCTAATAGCCAGCGATCGTTGAGTCATGTAAATCCCCGCGATTCCCCACTCCGTTTGATAAGTGACTCATATGAATAAAGCCAAACATGTTATTGTATCAAACATCAAACTTGTTAAACTGATGCCAGATGTCGCATTTACCCGCCCTAGGGCGGCGAATCTGATCCCAGCACATCAAAGCAGGAGGGGATGGGGGTGTTTAGGTCCCCCCCCCCTTAAAATCGGCCCCTATCCTATGTAGTAAAAAGGGATATGCATCGCCTGAACAAAGATAAAAGATATGAGGTAGGTAGATATTTCAGTCCTTTTAGGTCAGATCAAGAGTAAGGCTAACAGAGCCCAAAGGTCATTAAATGTAAAGTTTCCTTGTTTTTGAAGTTCATCGAGAATCTGGGAAAAAGGTTGTTCACTAAACAGTAAGCACTAAACCCTGCAAAAAATGTTTTCATAGTTTATTTAACGCTCTTTCACTAATTTCTCCTCGTGGCTCATATTTGACTGACCAAAGTTAAGTTGGTTTGTGTGCTCACTACTCAAGGCATTAACTGTCAAAATAAACATTTTTTTGTGAAAAAGTCTTGTAATTAGGTACTTTTCAGACAAAGTCTGTACAGCACTCATTTTTCCAGCATCATGTTGCTTTTGACATAATGTGTTAAATGAAAACTGTTACACATTAGTCAATCTGCATGCTCTGCTGATTGCAGCAAAGGTGCTTTTGTGGCTCTTGCATACCTAATTCTAACAAAGAATGTAGTAGAACTGCTGGTGACCTTTCAGGAACCAGCATGGATCTTCAGTAACTGGTCATCAGCTGCACCACACTACAGCTGCATACAGGTTGAGGTGGCATGATTCATCTGAAAACATCTACAGTGGTTTTGGCATGTGTTCAAGGCTGGAAGCATTTACCATAATTTTATGACAAGAGCATAAAAATGAGCTGGCCCCAGGTCTGAGGTCACATTTTCCAAAAGTCACATTATACCTATGTGTAGGCACTGCTGTGCCCCTACTAAGGTATTCTTTGACTGGGGTAGCTGCCTGTCATCCTGTACCAGAGATAGGTACCTAGGTGTCAAATAGGTGTTAATGGGTATTAGGCAGGGATGCGGAGCCGTGGAAATTTCAGACGGCTCCGGCTCCGGCTCCGGCTCCGGAGAAAAAAATCGGCTCCGGCTCCGGCTCCGGGTGAAATGTCATGGCGGCTCCGGCTCCGGCTCCGGCTCCGAGTAAAATGATCCGGCTCCGGCGGCTCCGACTCCGGCGGCTCCGGCTTCTACTCAGTACATCCCCTATGCGATCAATTAAATACGGGTGGAAGAAAAAAGGCGATGGGATTGGTACACGTTGCTTCTGTATTTGTATAACAAGGCTATTTTGAAAACCAGATTGTTTTACGCCTTGTACTGTCAAACCGAACTACGTAAATAATTGTTTCCTCTTAAGAAAAGGAGCCGGAGTCGCCCCCTTTTTTGACGGCTCCGGCTCCGGCTCCGGCTCCGGGCTATATTGTTTTACGGCTCCGGCTCCGGCTCCGGCTCCGGGCAAAATACGCCGGCTCCGGCGGCTCCGGCTCCGGCTCCGGCTCCGCATCCCTGGTATTAGGTACTGGTAGGTATTATATTGATGCATTTCATACCTTTGTGGGATCCAATGATGTTGGCTTTTACCACCACAGTGTCAAAGCACATCAAGACAAAGAAAGGTCAACAGGCAAACACACTGGCAAACACACAGATGTAAAAAGAATTGTATTAGAAATAGTAAGTAGCGTGACTTCTAACCATAATTAAAAATTCATACTGGTATTAGCCTATAAATTTGTATTTCATAAATTAGGCTTGCGTGCCATATGAAGCAACAGTTCAGCAGTCAATACAGAGGGATGGATACCTACCAACCAGCCTACCACCTATCTTATCCAAAATTTACCAATATTCCCCTAGAAATATCATATGATCTAGCAATTTGCTTAAAAGAAAGACAATGAAGAACATGAAAACACTTATTAATAATCAAAATACATAAAAATGCCCAAAATCACACACTGAGCCACAAATCTAAAAAAAAAAAACACAAGCATGAACATTATGTCTGGTTACATAGAGTTTTTGCAGGTCTCTAGCTCAGGTTTTTTGCAATACCTGAGGTAATTTTGATTCAGACTTTTCAAAGGGGCCATACCATTTATTGGATTATTTGCCAGCTGGTGTCATATCAGTGGGGGAAACTGTGGTCAAATCTTCTATTTTTGGAAGCCTTCCATTTTTGGAAGGACCTTCCATAAATGGGTATGCATTTTCCAAAAATGGAAGGCTTCCAAAATTGGAAGGTCTAATCTCAGTGTTCCCAACTGTGATTCACATTCTTTGATTTAAGTTACGGCCTTTTTAAATGTGTAACATTAATAGTTGATTTTGCCATTTATGATCATTGATATAAGGAGAAACAGCAGTGCTAGTGTTGGTAATACAGGCATGCTATGTCAATGTACATAGTGATATAATAGCATGGTGTCCTGGCGCACTGCTCTCTTTTTCTACTTCTAGAGGACACATAGAAATTCAGAAGAGAAAACAGCTGGTCAATAACCAACCAGGAGGAACACAGCTATAGCCCTGACAAAAAATGGTTTAAATTAAACTTACTATTCCTCATATAAATTGAAGATTCATGCTCCTTCGATAGAAAGTAACACGAAAAACGGCGCAGCAACGCCTATTTAATTCGTCCCATATTCCGGAAAAAACATTGAAAAATGACGAGACCTCCACCCAAATGTTTGGCAAAAGCCTTAAAAAATTGAAATCAACCACACAATATGCTAATAAATGCAGAAAACGGCAACAAATACAAGTTTTACTCGCCACTACACTCCCGAAACCGCCGCACTCTGTCCAGACAATTCCGCACTGTAAATAAAGTCGGCGGTATCGAACAAGCATGGCCCGTCACTAAAGTACTTTAAAGGATATTTACTTTTCGTTTTTGATGCTTTTTGCTTACAAAATGTTTGATAAAGTCTTATAAAACCATCGTTTGTCGGTAAATTTTTGTCAATTTTCCACGACTCATTACTTTGAAAAATTACCTAAAATACATCCACGCTAGGATTTAGGCATCCACGCTAGATTATGGACACTTCACTATGGCGAATAGAAAGCGACCAGGGGCGATAGTCGCATTTGCCTCATGTTCGGCGGAAATCGGTAAGTTCCAACATATGCGCAACATTTTCTATATTTGGGTACGATGACGTCGTCAGCGTACCCATTTTTGGAAGGTGCGTACCCATATATAGAAAATCCTTCCAAAAATGGAAGGCTTTCTAAAAATGGAAGATTTGACCACAGTTTCCCCGACTGATATAGTGGCACCATCAGAGCTTATGATGTATCAATGTGATACAAACGACTTAATATCTATCTATTAATTTTTATGAGTGCCATTTTCTGTGTTCATGTGTCCATCTACTACCGTGTTAGCATCAATAAACGGCATAGGTAGCTATCGTACGTAACCAGCTGGCCAGCCAGCTGATTTTATCCAGTTGTCAGTAAAGCCCATTCAAAGCATTGAATGAAATCATTTTTCATCACAAGGCACCATTGACATGTTTCGCATCTTTTCAGGCCTAGCTAGGAGGACTTACGAGCCCTCAACAAACCTTATAACGCGGCTACTGGTGAGGCAAGCGAAAATGGTAACACAATTTTAAACAGTCCATTAAGTTCTGATTTAGACTCAGCAAATTCTTATCTCTAAAACTCACAGGTACTACGCCTAGAACTACAACTTGAACTTCAACTTAGAAACAGAAAGCAGTCCACTTCAACTTTGACATGAATAACTTGCATTTTACAACACACCCATTACTCCCTAATAACGTTGTCCCGCAGAAGCAGCACAATAAAAGAATCTCACAACGTCTATCATAAACCTTACCTTAAGGCATATTTACGTCTGGACAACGAGTTGCGGGGAAAAGTGCTGATTGTGTTGCAGTTTTAGGAGCCGGTGATGAGGCTGGATTTTTGGGTTACTTTTTCGTTCCGATTCATGTATTTCATAGTGTTTGGCTTTTGAATATTTTATTTCTTTCAGATAAATATTACTTGCCTTACAATTTTTGTAAAAACGTTTCATTTTTTTATAAGCCGACGTTCAGAGTCCTAAAAATACATCAGCACTATAATCATTGTAAACAAACAAATGGAGCACCACTTGGCTCTGTTCCAAGGCCATTTTTTAGTTTATCTGGTGGTTTTTTTGCTCTTGTACGTCGTTTTGTTGGATGTTTTGAATCCCTTAAGATTGACTTATATCATATTTAAGAAGCATGTTGACTGAAAACAATCTGAAGTATCCAGGAGGGAGGCTGACAGAGGTCCTGACTACTGAGCAATATCAATATCAAGTTGAATAAGTTATGAAATTTTGGTTAATAAACGCAAGTTGATCGGGCTCATATATCAGCAAGAAAAAGTAAAATTAAAAGAGCTTATTGTCCAAAAACAAGCTATAATATTGCAGACCTTGGAGCAATACTGAAGAGCACGCTGAGCAGGATCATGCCAGAAAATGTTGACTGATGAGCGCATATTAATGTATTAGTATGAATATTGAATGATAACTTACAACAGCAAGATAAATTAGTGCTAACTATCAAGTTAAAATCTAGAATGAATGGACTTGGGCAGTTTTACTAATTACTATGCTTAGATGCTATGCAGATTGTAATGTGCATCAGGTACTCAGTGTCTTGCAAATGAAACATGCGATCATTCCATTGCTACTGGAGGAGAAAGCTTGGATCACTTAATCCACTTTATGTTGATTTTGATGTTAATCATCATCACTGTATTTCTTGAAAAAGGATTGTAGTAAAATTGTCAATGTGACAATCCATGCAACCATGTGATCATATTATGTGTTCATAGTCATTCGTGATAGTCATTATTGGTCCAATATACAATGGCAAAGCTCTCAGTCTCAGCGTTTCTTCCTGTGGATGGCCAGCAGTGACTCAGAGCTTAGAAGTATTCGTTTTCTTCACAGGGCTGGGATAAAAAGTACTGAGGGTAATCTTCCACCAAGGAACTCTACTTTGACATGGTATGAGATGTAGGCACAAGTAGGTAGGTGCTCAGTTCCTATAGTCAGTAGTTGTGTATGTTTAGTCGAGTTAGCTTAGATCAGATTGTTAGTTTTTTAATTTGCCAAATGTCCATAAAAATGTGACCTGAGCAATGAGCATACCTGAACCTGACTAACCTGACAGCTGACCTAACCTCGATCATCACACATATTTGCAGCCTACCCAAGACCCGCATGGCAGTAGCACCCAGTTATAGGTAGGTACTCACCCTAACTCAATCTTACCTGCTAAGTGCTAACCTTCAACTTGCCAAAAGTTAGCTCACAATTGCCAAGCTGTGTCCAGGGAAACAGTCAACTGAGGAACTGGCTCATTGGGTGGCTGGTGTGAGTCTGTGCATTTAAAGTGTTTCTTCTCTGAAGCTGCTCTGCACTGCTGTATGTCATGTTAGATGCTCAGAAAATGTGGGAAATGATTACTAAGCTACTTTAGTGCTTTGTTAAAGGGACCCTCCCACCTTCAAAAAAGTTTATGAATTGGCATGAAAGTGATGTCGCTCGGTTCAGAAAGAGCGAAAACGAATATCCACCAAATTTCACCGAAAAATATTCACCGGTTTTCAAGATATTAGACTTTTACTTTTGTTTACTTTTTGGGATCTCCGCTGTTTCTAGCGACTTTATTTTAGAAGTGCGGCGTTTGCGGCAGATGTTGCGCGCAAATAGCATATACCACCGCGTGCTACAAAACGTTTTAGTCAAACATTTAAAAATCGTTAGATATTTGTGCTGACGTCACACATTCAGAGGGGTATTCCTAAGCATTAGCCCCTCTGAATCAAAATGCTGCAATTTTGAAATTCAATATTTCCGATTTAAGGCATTTCTCGATGTTGTGAGTGCCGAAACCGGTAATTGTGAGCCAGGGACCCCATTTTGGCTATCTCAACTCAAATCTAATGTTAAGGTGGGAGGGTCCCTTTAATGCTCGAGACATGAACAAGTAGATCCTGCAGGGTACAGCTGAGATAGGTGCTAGGTGAGTATGTTATGTGAATGTGCTGTTCCCTGTTTGACCGTAAGTATACAAACAAGCACAGGGTCACAGTTATATTCAATCTCCACATAAACATACAACAAAAACAGCCAGCCTAACTCCGAACACACCACAGATAACTTAAGCCTTTGAAGGCACAAAAATGTTTTGATTAACAGGACAGGTTTACAATATATCCTCTGTCCTTGGGGGATCTTGCTGCCAAGTTGAGGTATGATGACTGAACTTCAGGATTGATCAACCTTTTCTTAGCCACTGCTTATATATGAGAAAGACCAAATGCTTGTTTGTTTTGATTTACAGGACATGTATACAATATATCCTCTGTCCTTGGGGGATCTTGCTGCCAAGCTGAGGTACGATGACTGAACTTCAGGATTGATCAACCTTTTCTTATCCACTGCTTATAAACAAGAAAGACCAAATGCTTGTTTGTAAGCTGCGTTGAAAATTTAATGATCCACCTTCAATTCTGACATGAAGGCACAAATGAAATAGTTCCCTCTCCATTTGGAATACACAAAGCAAAATATTTAATAAATTTTAGTGGATGGACAAGAGCAATTACCATAGCTTTCCCTCAAGTTTACTTCTGGCACTGTTGATGAATTACACTGACGCTTATTCGCTTCATATTTTGTAACAAACGCGCTAGAACTGCAATATAACAGCACTATATGCTTCTTGACAAAATGCAATAGTATTAAAAATTTAGCCCTGATCACTGATGGCATTCATTCTTGGTGGAAACGTTATTAAAAATATTTTGTAGTAACTCTTAAATTCCGGCCGAAAACAGTGCACGGTTTAAAAAAGAATCATTCCAATGACGGTCCATTCTTGCGGTCCTGAAATCGCCACTATTTCCGGCCTCTCCAACGCAACTCATTGTCCAGACGTAAATATGCTACCTTAAGCCCTCTCCAATTATTTTTTTCTAGAAAATTCGCGAGCAACAGCATGCGCTCTCCCCACTGAACTCTATAATGTGGAATGCGCATCGGCCGCCAAATGGTGTCCAACGGTGCCGCCATGTTGCGCAGACCAGAAAGCGGCCGCCGCCTGTGCTGGGGAATAGGGAATTCGGGACCTCGATTTACGTTTGCGGTCGCTGCATCCGTTACGCTCAAGCTATGTGGACACAGAACCCGGCATCTTACGCAGAATTGAGTGGAGAACAAGATGAAATCCTAAAAAATCCTCAGCTACAAGGAACTAATAGGTTAAACCCTTATAAGTCAATGGGGAAATATGAAAATTGCTATTTTGGCGCCGAGAATGATCTGAAACTATCTCAAGCATATAGAATCATGATTTCATGCACTTTTTGCAAGGTTCTATGCTTCATATTTGCATTGTTGCCCTTGCGTGACGTCATCTGTGACGTCACAAGGGTCACAATTTTTCTTCAATAACTCCCGATCAAATTGAGCTAGCGAGTCGGGAAAGCCACCAATGGACTCAGGAAGACCTGCCGAATCGAATGATATGCGACATGACCTCTTTCGACCAACTTCGTGACCTGGGGGTGCTGACCTGACCTTGACCTGAGGTCAACACCCTAAGTTGACCTGACCCGAACAAAAAGTATATCACTCGATGTGCCTGAGCTAGCTGAACACGATGATGCCAAAATCGCGGCTCTACGGCCATTTTTGGCGAAACTATTTACCAAAAACCGAACCCGTGCCTTAGATCACTTGACCTGACCTCAGAGGTCACCGGTTGACCTGAGACCCTTACAGCGGGTTCCTACCAGTCACTCTGCATTATACTTTGCCGCATACGACCACTTTACCGCTTAATTCTAGTTTAATTAGCGGTGCATTAGCGAGGTGGGTTCAATCAACCCCCTCGGCCGGGGCAAATGTAGGTCAGGCGAGTGAATTTGAGGAATTCTGAAGATACGATCGTGTTCCCCACTCAATTCTGCGTAAGATGCCGGGTTCCGTATCTACGTAACTTGAACGTAACGGATACGGCGGCCGCAAACGTAAATCGAGGTCCCGAATTCCCTATTCCTCAACACAGGCGGCAGCCGGCTTCTGGTCTGCGCAATATGGCCGCCACCGTTAGACACTACGGCCAATAGGGTTGAAGCGGCATTGCTCCCCTGTGGCTCGCTCTCCCCTTTTTAGCTTAGCGTGTTTTGCTTTTTGAGGGCAACGTGGCGCACAGCAAGACGACGTGTTCGATTCGATTGTTTTTTACTGTTCGCAGAGAACAGGCAGGCAAAATTCGACCAATAAACGTCGGACGAGCTGAAGAATCTTGGACCGATTCAGGGTAAATAAAAATACTTTGGACCGATCTTTGGACCCGTATTTTTGTAAATACATTGACATCGTTCGGACGGATCGACGCAGCAATTCTACCTTGCTGTAGGCCGATCGGCCAGAGAGGTTAAAAATGATGGAGAAAATATAGGGTGAAGTCGTATAAGAGTACGCACTTAGTGGATTTCTTGCTCTCATTTGTTTAATATTTGAAGGAAAGAAATCGCAAATAGGGAATATTAAAGTTCATTGAATTAGCCATCATCCCATGGGGCAACGATCCTTCAGCGTAAATGGAAGTGGTCTAAAACTGACATTTTCTGAACCGTTGCACTTGCGTACTCTTACCATATGGGGTGTGTAAGAGTACGCACGCCAGGCGGGTGGAGTACGCAAGCATATGAACACACACCTATGCAGCTTGCGCTGTCCAAATGCTTAATTTCAAACTCAGAAGGCATTTAAGTTAATTCTAGTATCCA